GGAGAACCCTTAACTCGTGACTTATTTACGACCTCACCTGCTTGGCTTGCTTAAAACACTAATGAAGCGTAAAATTAAACGGGTCGCTAATTATTCTAAGTCCTTCTCACTGAAACCTTTTCACTTATAGAAGTGTCGAAGAGCAAGATAAGAAAAGAGAAATTGAGAAAATTTCAACGATAAATTCCAAAATTCTGCCGGAAGAACGGAGCTGTCTTCGAAAAAGGCGATAGCCACTAGTTCTTATGTCACTAAATGCTCGCTCTCTCTGAGACCCAAATGTCTGCGCCACATCTACTGACACGTTTTGACAGACACTCAGTGGGCTTCTCAACGGAAAGTGTTGAATGGCCCGGAACAGTTTTTCTGGGGAGGCGCCATTTCAGTTGTTTTCTTTGTCTCCTTTTGTAGTAGAAAACATGCCAATGAGCGCATCAAGGCAGAATTGCTCAACTAAGCGGGAAAGTTAAAAACTTTCGTTGGCAATCTAGATTCATAGAACCCGCTCATATCCAAAATTTTGCACCTCATACACATCTCTATACTTGCAAATATGCATCAAAAAATGACTTTTTAAACATTCATTTCTTTCGTTCAGCGTTGAAACACTTTTATCTGTAGTCGCTTTCCTTATTTCGTTGCAGTATTTTAATGGACCTTTTAACTCCTAAGAGCATTAATGATTTAAGGTAAGCGATCTCTGAAGTCCGATTAATAATGAATGCACCCACCGCTATATACCTGGAGTGCTTTAGGTTTTGGTCAAATAGAGATAAGTGAAAGAGAAGGAAGATAGCGTCTCTAAGTACGTTAGGGCGGGCTGTCCATTACAGTAGTGTAGTAGTTTAGGATAGCCTGTCCACTTGAAAACTGCGCCGGCTTCGATCTCACTTTTGTGATATTTCTCTTTTGGTTGGTGTAACATAACGGCGGAATCATAAATTCAAAATTCAAAGCTTTTGCCGCTTCCGTGAGGTGTCAGAGTCCATGTCAAAGAAATCTTTCTTCAGAATACGAGGAGAGCAACAGTGGCACACGGTAGTGTGTTAAAAACACGGCTTTTTCTACCGTAGTCTACGACATGTCTGGTGAAGCGGAGGGATTATGGACGGGCGAAATCGAAACAAGTTTTCAAGAAGCGCTCGCAATCTACCCGCCGTGTGGAAGACAAAAGATAATGTTGTCAACCAAAGACAAGATGTACGGGAGAAACGAGCTCATTGCGAGATACATCCTCATGAAAACTGGCAAAGTTCGAACTCGCAAACAAGTCGCCAGTCACATTCAAGTTCTGGCCAGGAAAAAAATCCGCCAGTTTCAGTCAAGGATCAAAGAGAAGACATACGTAAACGATGGGTTACAAGAAATGATGACGATGTCCTCCGCGGAGATTCTGTCGCCTGTCGTGCACCACGGAAGCGAAGGCTACGAAGCCCCGTCATGTTCTGATATTCCGCCTGGTCCTCCGCCAGCGTTGTTACCGTGCTATTCGACTCCGGCTCCGAGTCAACATGGACAATTAATGATTGAAATCCCCCGAGCCCGAACTCCACCGAAATTGCAGTTCCCGCCGGTAGCGAGAGAGCACATAGCAGGAATACCCGAATTTACGCCTCCTCGCACGCCTCCTCATAAACTTGAAACCAACTTCCAAGATAATACTTTTCAAAGTAGTTTGACTTGGGAAGTACCTGATATTACTCAGGAATTAAATTACAGGGAGACACAAGAAGAGCTCTCTCCAAAGTCTGGCATCAGCGGGAGTCATAGTAGTAACAGCACGTGGCGAGCGATTCCGGAAGTTATTTACAGCACAAGATGCAAAGAAGAGCCCGTTATTTCAACTTGTGTCTTGGGCGTGTCAGCATCGTCCACTTTGCCGGAGACACCGACATTCGATGATTATTTGGTGTACGACGCTGACCAGACTTGTCCCTCTATTGACTTCTCGGACATGTAAACAGTGGTAATTATGAAAAGAGCATTCTTATTTCCATACTTGCATGTTTTATTTGTAATTTTTTTAAGAAGTGTTCACATTGTGTTTCATTGTTTGCATAACGAGTTCTTCAACGGAGCTTCCTTCACCCGTTTCATGACTTTAAAATCACTTTCCGTTTCGCCAACCTCTTCCTTTGTCTAACAACCTGTCGCGAAGAAGCTTCTCGTGTCGGGTACTTTCAAGTGAAATTTTTATTTTTCTAACCATCAGATCAAATTAATGTGAATTTTGTCTTCATCAGTAGGAAAAATATGTTGCGAGGAAAAACATTTTAGGTTCGAACGGAATTAGTCTTAATCCAGTGTAATTTCCACTTGTCAGATCAATTGTTTAGTTTCATCTAAATTTGTTCCATTTGAACTTTCCATTCATTACTTAAATTAATTTCACCTATCAAAATCGTCACGAGCTTTTATCGAAGAAGAAAAAGCAGCATTTAAGACATCTTTTCCTCTCTTTCAGTGAGAAATAAGCTTGGCTTCTGGTTCTTTTTCGTTTATTTCCGTTTCTGTTGTCTTTTTTTCGCCGTTTCAATGCCACCTGTTATTCGCTTTAACGGTTGACACAACAGATACCCGTGTTAAAGGCAGGGCCTTTTTTCATGTATCTTGCTTATCCATTCTTCCAAAACAAAACTACTGTTTACTCTTTTCATAAGATCCTTTGTTGGTCACGGTTCACTGTGTATACTTGTTGCTGCTCACACTTCAATCTGAGCGGCTACAATCCACCAGTTCTATTCAAGTACCCTAATTCTCTCTTGACAGGAGCACGCGCCACCTAGTGCCTTTTAGGCAATTTTTTATTCGTATACTTTGAGTTTTGGATCTACCGAGTTCAACGATGAAGTTTTCTACTTCTCATCTATTAAGGTTGCGCTAGAATAAAGGCCTATATCCATATGAAAAGTTTCTGTTCAATATTCATTCTACTTACAACACTTTAGCGCTGAGGAATACTTTTTGGGTTAGTATATCCTGTCTAGTGTCTAGAGCTACAAAGGCGTACTGATGCCTTGTAAACGCTAAGACGGCTCTTAGCAGGCGGTTCGTCGGCTAATTAGTCAATTTTGGTCGTTGTTGTCACGTTGCTCTCACTTCCGCTCCTGTTAGCTTGTGCCATCCAGATTATCACTTGAACTGGTTTCTTCCGTTTCTATTTTTTAGTTGAAAGAAATAGCTTATTATGATCATATTAAATCAGGGATAATGTAATTTTAACTTAGACCAATCTCAGTCAATTGCTTTATTTCGTTTTCTTGTAAAATTTCAGTTATTCTACGAATTTGCGTACCATATTTACTCAACAATCAAGTCTCCTCGAAAAGTAGTCTGATAAGGTTCAGCCTGTGATCGATTTTTCCTAATCTGATTCTTGAAGGAAAATGAAGGTAGAAATACCATGGGCTTACTTTTCACAAAGGAGTTATTGTGTTATTACGTTTATGTCAGCAAATATCAAAAGTGTGAATTTCAAATATCGTGATCTTTATCAATATCGCGGCTCGTGATAATATTAAAGGAATCTATAGTCTGACCAACGCAGCGGAAGAGGACGTGAAATACTGTTAATAACGGAGACGAATTTGAATAACGCCTTCTATAGAGTGCTACGTTGACTCAAGCTACTTAATTCTTATCAAAAGCAAATCAAAAAGCTAAATTTCGTAGTTATCATATGTTAAAGAAAACTTATACCCCATTCACACCAGCAAAACATATTTAGCTAAAATGGATTCAATTGAATAAAAATCAGATACAGAGGACTGAAGTACTAAATTTTTCAAAGCATTCAAGTCGTCAATAACTTGTATTTTCAACAGGCTAACTTCAAAGTCGACAAACAACAGGTTTGGGCGGCTTTTATGAAGGGGAGAAAAATATAAATATTGTTTTACTGAACAGCCTAAAAACATGTTTAAGCTTTGACGTGAATGGGGTATTAGACATTCATATTCATCAAACTTTGTTTTAATCGCCAGTTTTTATTATAAACTTCTGCTTTAAGCGTCGTGAACTGTGAAGCCTACTTGCACACGCAAAACTCCTAAGCTGTAATTTAAACTGGATTTCCAGTCTTTTTCGTGTATTATAAATAATGAGCTCGTATTTTGTTATATTATTCAATGCAAGCGTTACTATATACGTAAATTAATCGTACTAACCAATCGAATTTAAGCCTTG